ATATTGTCGGAGGTAACCGTCATGATTGTACTTGAATACAATTAATGATTTTGTCAAAGATAAACAAAATGGCGTAATATTTTTTGCATATAAACTAAACAGCTTTCGGGAAAAAAGAAGGTTGGAACGGTAAACGAAAATTCTGATAAAAGTAAGAAATAATGCTGGTAGGACTGTAGAATGATAATAATAAATAATAATAAATGATTTTGTTTTTATATGACTTTTATATTTTCTATATTTTGTAAAGTATTATAAAAAAGAAAATCGTCAGGCAAGTTGCAGAAATGAAATGAATGAATGTCTAAATAGCGGAACCTGGATTAGCATCGAAAAAAGCTTTTAGGTTTCGTGTGTAAATGCTCCGGATGTTACAAAGGCAAATATTGTGAAAATTGTAAGTACATGAAAAATATAGGCGTTTGCATGGGGTTGTAATTTGGCTTACGCATAGCTAGGAACGCATCGCATTCCAGATGCAAAATTCCCTTGCAATATTCACTATAACATGCAACTTTGTATACTTGAAAAAAGGCATGCGACAAATCCCTTTCGATAGTAACGTCACAACATCATCGTCGTTGCCATTTAATTTCTTCTGATATTAAAAAAAAATTAAAAAGACTCGTCTCGCGCCTTTCTGCCATCAATCCCCCATCGTGCATTATTACACCATAAAGACAATTCTTAATTATTGCATGCTGTAGTTCCAAGATCCTCGCTGGAAGCCCGCCAACAACACAACTTTGGCCTTGATAATTTCGATATCATGTTCAACCACATTCAATAACTGTTTATTATTGTTTATTAAAAATGCCCATGTCCAACGTATGACGTCATAACTGTACTATAAGTCATAACGTGTGATAAATGATAACGAGTGGTTCAGATACCACGAAAAAATTTTCAATCATTGTTACAAGAATGAACATATCTCGATGAGAGGCGAATTTTATGGTTGTTCACACTTTAACCTCACGTAGATGTCTGGGCGTCATCTGCATCTTTATAGCTTCTATTTAGTCGTTAATGAACGCATGTTATAGATTTGAATTAATCTAAGTTTATCTGGTCTTTTTGTGGGGTATGTTCAGTATATTCATGGCCAAAAATGCAGCCTATAAGCGGTTAGGTGTGGACTCGTGCGGTTCAGTTTTCAGTTCATAATAATTTCTGGCTGAATTCGAAACAGACAATAAACATATGGCATTAATGCAGGTAGTAATGCAACCCACTTAAGATGCTTTCGACGCTACTTAGTTCAATATATTTAAATATTTCATATTTGTATAATAATTATTGTATCACACAGCAACAGTTAAAAGAAAATGAAGGCTTTCAAAATGAATTTCAACGCGTTGGGGGAACACATTCAAATGTCTTTTAACGTTCTAACGGATCCTAAGGCTCACATCAGTACGATAGCACACCAGCACTTACACTATATATTTTTGCCCGCTGCCGATCGGTAAGGATGGAGACGGTATCCGAGCGAAACGATCGGGCTAGGGGTGAAACGGTGTTTCTTTTGAGTTTGCTGTTTTCGGCGCAGATAATAACTCAACGAACCATGCTATTTTAACGGTACCTCCTCCATCCCGTGATCAACTGTCACACGTGAGTCACTGAAGTGAAACCGTGGAATAAACGATACGAACATCAAAGTACACACACACACAAAAAAAATACCTGTAAATGTGGCGATCATTAATGAATTTACCTTTACCCCAAACACCAATTCCACGACCAAAACGGGTGTGAAAAGAACTGTGCTTAATCCTGCAAAACAAACTAACAAAAAAAAACCCCAGCGAGATTAATAAGACGCTTCTCCCGTAGAGTTCACAACATCACGTGAAGTCGTTAGGGAAAAGGGAGGGATGGGTCACGCAAGCAACTAACAACTCGATCAGGCAAACTGGGCTCATATTTATACTCACCGGAGGGGGCAAGTAGCCGACCGGACAAGCGTCCTAAGACCCGAGACACTACGATACGAAGACCCGTATAACATTAACTTCCTTTATTATTTAATAATAAATACATTTAAGCTTCTAAAATGCAATGTAAAAAAGCTAGAAGCCTAGAGCCTTCACAAGCCAGATCAGATGTCGGTCTACGATTTGCCGATGCCCGCCTTAAGAAAATGTGAATATAGTTAGTATTTCATACGGCACGTTGTCCACATATATAAGTGTATATGACAGATGTCATTTTGTAAGAATGCTTTGATATCGCTTTTTATGGGAATCATTTGTGTTACGCGCTGTTATCGTTGTTTTTATCACAATCGATTATGAATCAATAATCATGCAATAATGAATATAAATCGACGAGTGAAACTATTCGTTGGCGCTTTTAAAAATGTTGGTATATTCCAATTGTAAACTGCATATATAGCTAAAGGCTGCTTTCCACTTACGCGTTTTCTATACGCACGTACACGTACGGAAAATTTTAAATGCTTTTAAATTTTTATTATTTAACATCTAGATCAACTAATGCATACTAAAATATGCAGAAAACTAAGTTCCTTTGATTTATTCACTTAGTTTTTTCAAAGGTAACAGCTATAAAAATTTAGACTTTTACGTGCGTGTACGTGCGTATGAAAAACGCGTAAGTGGAAAACAGCCTTAATAGTAATAATTCAATTTATCACCTTAAATCTGGTATTGTAACGAAACTATTCCGAATAATTATAATGAAGGCCACACTTCGATTCTAATAATAATAATATTAATAACTTCTTATTAACCGAGTGCGAGGTCTTTACCGAGAAATATCGGACCGAGATCTTTTTGAACTGACTGAGCTCGAAGAGCGAGGATTGTGCAAAAAGCAAGTCCGATATTTCTCCGTTAAGACTTAGCAAGCGAGGTCCATTACGGGAAAGCCCGCCAATAACACAACCTTGGCCTTGATAATTTCGATACCATGTTCAACCTCATTCAATAATTGTTTAGTATTATTTATATAAAATAATTCACAGCCTTGTGATTAGGTAATAACCACGCCTGAGCGTCCCCATGTCCAACGTGTGATGTCATAACGTGTGATACGACTTTTTTCTTGCACGCGCTACTACGTCATGCATAATGTGTGATAAAATATAAATGATAACGAGTAGTTCAGATACCACGAAAAAATTCTGCGATCAATGTTAATAGAGTGAACATATCTCGATGAGAGTCTAATTTTGTAGTTGTTCATATTAAGAGATATTGACATTATACAAACCGTATATAATCCGAAGCAGATGTCTAGGCGTCAGCCGCATGTTTAAAGTCATATTCAATAGACAATTTAGTCGTTAGTGCATGCATGTTATAGATTTGAATTAATCTAAGTTTATCTTGTCTTTATGTGGGGCATGCAAATCAGTGTATTCATTGCCAGAAATGCAGGCCCATAAGCGGTGAGGTGTGGACTCGTGCGGTTCAGTTTTCAGTTCATTACTTCTGGCTGAATTCGAAACAGACAATGTGCATATGGTAGCAGGTAGTAATATAAAAAATGGCCCACTTGAGATGCTAGCCACGCCACTTAGTTCAATGTTGAATGCTTAATATTTGCATAATTATCATAGCAACTGCAATGAATCATAGCAACAGCTAAAAGAGCTAATAAAGGCCATCAAAATGAACTTCGCCCGCTTAGCGGGACAGCCCGGCTTACAAGATCTCGGCGCTAATTGCTGCCGAGCCTCAGCCAGGCAGCACACCATTCTTGACGTTACATGACGTTCTTGCTTCTCGTGCCCAGTCCCCGGCCCAGTTATGTATTGTCGACGTAAATCTCGATCTGCTTTCTGCTTTGGGAGATATCTCTGCATTTCCAGGAAGCTGATTACGAATTTAAGTTTGTTTGTAAAATGAGGGGGGCGTCAGACTTTCTATTGTGTACGCAGCCTGGGAAGCAGTTTTTAACAGCCATATTTCTAAGTATTCAACAGCAATACAAAGGCATATTCAACAGCCATACGAAGGCAGATAAGGCATATAAATATATTCATTTGTGTGGTGATAAGTATTCAAAAGCCATACGAAGGCAGAACAGACGTGTGAAGGCATATAAATATATTCATTTGTGTGGTAATGTTACGCTAAATATTCAGCAGCCGTATCGCTTAGTATTCAACAGCCATACCAAGCCTTAATGCCAAATATTTAACAGCCGTTTGAAGGAATATTAATATAAATATATTCGTTTGCGTGGTGATGTATTCAACAACAGCCACGCGAAGGCATATATTCAAAGCAGCTCAACTTAATACTATAATAATAATAATAATAATAATAAATGTCTTTATTTCTTCACAAGATAAAAAATACATATCTTATGTTACATTTGAGATTACAAGATGAAACAATTTACAATACTAGATTATATTTAAAAATGAGACGATTGATATAAGAATTTTTAAAACGATCTGTGTTAATCTTTGGAAAGTTACTAAATTTATTTCTTAGTTCATATCTATTGACTTTCTTCTTTGGCAACAAGTTTCTTAATGGGTGCTGTTCAATTTGCCTGACCTTACTCAAAAGTTTTCTATCTTGCTTTTCCAGCAATTCTTGCACACTAATTTCTTTCGAAATATATTTACGTTTATGACATCGTCTCAAAAAGCATTCAATTTTTGCAAGTTCGGGTTTGGAAGCACCATATACTGAAACAGCATAGGTAATATTTGGTAGAACTAAGGTGGTAAATAAGTGATCAATCTCTTTCTGATTATAGCCTTCTTTGCGCAGTGATCTTAGGATGAAAAGGCACTTATTGGCCTTTTTAAGCTTTTCATAAACATGAATTGTAAATCGGCTATCTTCTTGGAATGTAACTCCCAACAAACGATAGATGGCGTTTGCGGGATGCCAGCGACCACAGGAAATATTTCAGTACAGCTTTTCTTCCGAATAATCAACTCTTTACATTTAGTAGGATTACTCTTCATACAATTACGACTTGACCACTCTAAAAACTGTTGAACCATATCGTCAGAAGCATCGTTCTCTTTCCAGACTGGGGATATAATAGTGGAATCATCCGCGTATTTAACCAACCCACAATCTGATGCCGATAATATCTCAAGATCATTAATAAAGACGTTGAACAATTGTGGGCCACTCACACTACCCTGAGTAGTTCCTTTATTCACACGTGTCCAGACACTAACAAATCCATTGCTGACAACTCTTTGTTCTCTATCTTTTAAGAAGCTAAGATACCAGTTGAATACGTATGGATTAAGACCAATTCGCCTAAATTTCTCCGATAATAAACTATGTTTTACGCTGTCAAAGGCCTTACTAAAATCCATGGCAAAAACACGAACAGCTTTACATTCTGGGTTATCAAGGTATTGATTAACAGTATGTTGAACCGCCACTAATGCATCAGTACAGCTACCACCCTTCCTATAGGCAAACTGAGATGCCTTCAAATGCTGTTCGATACAATCTTTAGCGTGCACTCTCAACACAATCTTTTCGAAAGCTCTTGCTATAACAGGTGTTATATTAATACCACGATAATCATTATTCTCCTTTGGTAACTCAACTTTTGCCAATGGATCGATGTTAGATCTTTTCCAAGAGACAGGCCAAGTATGTGTTTTAAGTGACAGATTCCAAACTTTCGTCATTACAGGAGTTAATAGCTCAGCATGATCCTTCCAAACTGTATACGGTATCGAATCCGGACCCATAGCTGTTCTTTTAATAAGCTTAAGAGTATTCCACACTTGCCATTCATTAACCGTTGGAATTTCAACGTCATCACTAATGTCCTGTGGTTGTGGATTTTCATAATTGATATCTGTACACACATTGCCAAAATAGGTATTTAAGTCACGAAGTGAATTATGATCAAGGGAAGTAGCAGCTCTCTGACGGCGCCTCGATATATTCTGTCCACTCTTTTCCACCAATCCCGTGTACCAACATCCTGTAAAGATTTCGTTCTATTTTGATTGATTACTGCTGAGATCCGTTTATTTAAAACAATCAAACGATCTTTATTTCCTTTTGATATTCTTGATTTCACACGCAACATAACCTTTACTAGTGGGCTCATCCAGATCGGATCTCGTGAAGACATAGTCACAGTTCTTAAGGGCATACACCGATCTAAATGGCCATGTATAACTTTCTCAAGTTCCTTCACTGCTTGATCAATATCGGTACTCAGAAAAACCTCATTCCAGTTCTCCTGAGCTAGTGCCATATACAAGTCATTCTTGCGATGCTCCCTTTGATCACGAACTTGGATTTTCCTTCGTACAGGGGGAAGCTTTATTCCAGCTGGTAATATAACGCCTTTATGGTCTGTTTTCGTCAACATATTGATGGGATAACATTTTCCAAATAAATCCGACCAATTGACTAAACAATTATCTAAACAACTATTTCCCCTCGTTGGAAATTTCTGCAATACGAGATTAATAAAGACAGCTGCGTGAAGGCATGTAAATATATTCGTGTGGTGATGTTCTAAAGTTCTAGGTATTTAACTGATGCCAATATCCCTTATCACACTGTTTAGTTGTTTTACCGAATACGTGTACTATAGTTCTGAAGCCGAAGCAACAAATGTCAACCATTCACAAAAACCACAAATTTCCTAAAAGTATGGTGAGAAAAAAAGTTAATCAAGTATTGTGAGACAAAATTACATAAATGTTTTTATAAAATGACTCACATAACAAAGTCAACGTTAATTTAGTATAATTTATAGCCACTACCTTATGGCTGTAATTTGTCTTCAGGATCTCTTAATTCTCTTTCTGCTATAAAGACAAATAAGTATGGCTACTATATTAAATATTTGGCTGATGATACCACAAATTTCATAAACGTACGGTGTGTAAAAAAGTATCATCAAGTATTGTTAGAGAAAATTACCTTGATGTTTTTATAAAATGACTTACACTTATATAACAAATTTAATTTAGTATCAGTATAGCAACCACTTTAATTATGGCTGTAATTTGCCTTTAGGATCTTTTAACTCTTTGCCATAAGGACCAGAAACTATAGCTACTAGATTAAATATCTGGCTGATGACTGGAGATGTAATCAACCAATGCATACCTAATAGGGAATGCTTCAAGAAAAACCATTTACTTTTGAAAAATATTAATTCATGCAGTCGATTCTCAAATATTTTCAATTTTTAATGCAAAAATTAATATCAACTTTAATTAACAATCCGTCAACAAAAACAACAATTTTCTTAAATCTAAGGTATGTACAAATCTATGGTGTGTACAAAATTCATTTTGTGCTGTACAACAAAATGACTTAAGCTAGAACTAATAAGAACAATAACAAACTACATGTTTTTATAAAATGACTTTACCTAACATTGTTCATTTAGTATGATTTGGCTAAATGTTCACCTGAGGGAGTTTTTTATCACTTAGACCTGGTTTATACTAGCAGAGTTTGTGTTATCACAATAGGAATTTTCAATGGATAAATTTTACATTTTAGTAATAACTGTTTTAAGAAAGTCATTTAGCGTTATCCACAAAGTCAGTTTCATGCAACATTAGACCTTTTCGGTAATTATGTCACGAAAACATTTAAGTGAGGTTGAGGGGCCAATATCATTGGGCAACTGAACCAAAGAAAATTTTGCCTCATCGATCTGGTAATTACAAATAACATCCTTTAAAACATTTCCATTACTGGTATACTGTTACCTGATGATTGTGTGATATCAGTGGGAAACAGGTTAACGTCATGGACCTGATAGTTACAAATAATGGCCTTTAATTGGTTATTAAAACTGTTCTACTACAGAACACTAACACACAATTCATCAAGTAATCTAAATGAACGAATGGTATATAGCTATGTGAGAACTGTGTTGCAAGAATTAGTATTTTCAACATTGCACAATATACGTACATTCAGTGTGAAAGATGTTATAAAGTCCGTTCTGCGCATATATACCGCGCATAACAATGTTTGTTTACGTTTTTTATATAATCTTTACTTGACGTATGTGTCGTTTTAATTTTCTTATTTTCTTCTCGTTCTCATAAATAAACCGTTACTTAAAACTTTATATATTTGTAATTGTAGGACAAGCGAGAAAGTAGCGTCTGTAGCGACGACAAATAGCCTCGCCATTTGGTGTCCTCATTCATCAAATAAATTCTTGAAGCATTCCTTTCAAAATAATATTGCTTTTTTCTAGCAGCCCTATCTTCATCACTCGCAATTCGAGCCTCTTCGCCTTGCGACATAAAATAAAATAATTGTGCTCCCGAACTGTCGTTTGTAATACAACGCGCTAATATCGCATACATTAACATTCCGAAAGTTGCTCCCCCACTGATGGAATGTGTTGCTGCGCGGAAAATATGCGCAGAACGGACTTTACCTTATCTTTTTTAATTGTTGAAAAATTTGATGTACGTAGTAAGTAGGATTCCCTATTGTATTGTGATGTTCTGTGATGTCTATGATGCGCAATCTTAGGTAAATAATGCCATGTGTGATGTGTCATGTTAACTAATTTAATTAATGTAATGAAATGTCTGTGTAACTTTAACTTTCTCCGTCAATTAATGTAAAATTATATTTGACACAAGAGGCGGACTTCTTATAGAAAAAAAATACTTCTTGTGAATTTATGTTAATGTATTGTTAAAAGAATTTTTCTTGAATATTAAAAAAAAGTGTATTGTGTTATATAGATCACACAGCTAAATAGACATACGCTGATGTCATGATGTTACTCATAAAAAATTTATATAGCTAACTAATCTCTCAAATATCTAATATTCTTTGATGTGGATGTACGTCACTAATTCTACCAATGACAACACCATACAATGACATTCATGTTCCCCAACGTACGAATCAAATTAGCTTCCAGTTTCCCGGCACGGCAGCATTTTTCTTGCAATGGTAACTTCCCTAATAAAAACTTCTGTGCGTTTAGTATGGACAGGCGGGTTGGCCCGCTTAACGAGATCCCGCTCGAAAGAGGCGAGAGCTCGCTTAGGGGGATGAAAATATTTTCATATGAACTCTCCAAGCGGGCTGTCAGCCTAGCCCGTTTGCCGAGGTAGAACCAATTTTTTTAATTTCTTATGTTTCTCGGCGTTTCTTTTTATAGGTTTGAACATTACATGATTAAAAACGAACAAACGGTGGCAACGTACTTTAATAGATGCTGATATATATACTATTATAATATAACATTTATAGTACGCGCGTGCTGATTGGTCGAGAAGCGTGTTTCTATAACTGTATAGAAACACGGGAATTTTCCCGCCGAACTTGACAAGCGAAGCGATGTAATGAGAATTTGTAATTGAATCGAATCATAATATTTGTACAAAATCTTTTTATTGAGTTATATTATAAAAGAAATAGAAAACATTTTTTCCTGTGTTTCTATACAGTTATAGAAACACTTGTGGGAGTTTGGGAGAACTCGAAATAACGTGGAAAAACTCGCCCTACGGGCTCGTTTTCCCACTGATTATTTCTCGTTCTCCCAAACTCCCACGCGTGTTTCTATAACTGTATAGAAACACGGAAAATGTTTTCTATTTCTTAAATGTGATATAAACTTTAAACGCAAAGCCAATAAAGGCGATGTAAATAACTTTATCCCGGCAAGCGGGATGAACAGCCCGTATAAACTGCCCCTAAGAATTCAGCCATTTCGCCTTTGACTTCGGCTGGCAAGGCAAAACTGCTCTCCGTGCACGTATTTGTCTATCAATGCTAAAACACCTGCTGAAAGTTTTATCACCTTTTTTTATATATTGCATGCAGAAAAGATCCCAGAGATCTGACGACATTGTTCACAACAACCACTTGTTTTGTTCGCTGTGGTACTTTTGAAGCTATCAAATTCATTCTTCCGGAACAAATTGCCTGCAGGCAAAATCATTAGCTTAATTCGCTATCGGCGGAAAACTGCGAGTAAATAGCAGACAAAAGTCGTAATTCGCGCGTGAATTAATTCGTCCGAAATACATTAACCATTTGCGACAAGCATTATGATATATAAATTAACCACAATTATGACAAATTAGGAAAGATGAAAATGCAGTTGTAGATCAACTGTCCTCCTTGTCAACTGTCCTCTTGATTATATGTCAATCATGCCACTAAATTGCGTAAATGTATTATGTAAATTATAGCAGTGTATATTACAGCAGCATATCGAAACGACCAGCGTGTGAAATGATGAAAGCAAAATACATTTAATAATATTACACTGGAGACAGCATTTATTTGACATCACCGAACTATTTTAGCTCGGATTACTCTACAAGGATCAAGCCCTGGACATCGGCCAAAATGTAGGTATAACTGAAACCGAATATAGGTATAAATAAAATATTAATTCTGGTCAGTTAGCACTCGTCCGGTTTTCACAACACGTTGTTTATAAATTATCATGAATGACTATTTTATCTGATATCTCTACTCTTGGTATTAAAACTAAAAAACATATGTGTTTCTTATTATAGCCTTTTCAATCAAAGGCGTCTCTGAGATCGGAATTCTTTTTAAACATAACGCAGCAAATATTAAAGCTGACTAATGTGTGTTTAACCGACTTTAACTGAGCTAATTCACAAGAATTATTCATGTTATTAATTTTAACATTTATTTTTGTGTAATAACTTTTGCCTCATATAACGAGCTTTATGAGCATGCAGGCATTGATATTTCTGAACATACTTTATTCATCAGTAAAACTGTAATAATAATTATAATGTGAGTGTAAAAAAAATGCACAGCTATAACCCTCTTGCCGGACCCTTTTTAGCACTTGAAGAGCATTTAGAGAACCTTTGTCTCGAAATCAAAGAGCTCTTAACGCTGTAAAACGCACATGCACGAAGCTGGCGGTCATGCATTGTTGTTGATATATCTTTGTTGAGGATGAGTCTTTAAAGACATAGTAAAGGCATTTTATACGTACGACATTCACAATAGACTGTCAGCGTCAACAAGCGTGTTTTCACAAGAATTATTCATGTTATTAATTTTAACATTTATTTTTGTGTAATAACTTTTGCCTCATATAACGAGCTTTATGAGCATGCAGGCATTGATATTTCTGAATATACTTTAGTTCATCAGTAAAACTGTAATAATAATTATAATGTGAGTGTAAAAAAAAATGCACAGCTATAACCCTCTTGCCGGACCCTTTTTAGCACTTGAAGAGCATTTAGAGAACCTTTGTCTCGAAATCAAAGAGCTCTTAACGCTGTAAAACGCACATGCACGAAGCTGGCGGTCATGCATTGTTGTTGATATATCTTTGTTGAGGATGAGTCTTTAAAGACATAGTAAAGGCATTTTATACGTACGACATTCACAATAGACTGTCAGCGTCAACAAGCGTGTTTACATGCATGCTACCTGAAGTTCTTTGGAAAAGGCCAAATTTTAAAGGCAATAGTGTGAATGGAATTCATATAATGAACTCTAACAGAGATTTTAGCAATAAGGGAAAATTTCGTTTTAGACCAACCAGCAAGCTTGTTACATTTTCAGGAACCCAATCAGAATGCATAGATATAGATGAAAAGTACAACAGCTAAATACCTTTTCTTCCACGGGAAAACATACGTTAACGCTATTTCGTTCGTTGAAAAATATCGTTCGTTATCCGTTCGTTATTTTATCCGTTCGTTTACCGTTCAAACGCTTCCAGCGTTCGTTGAAACGACTCTTGTTCGATATCATTCATCGTTCGAAATTGCCCGTTCCAACGCTGAGGAAAAAACGTTCAAAAATTGTTCCAAAAGGGTTCACCCGTTTGATTTACCGTTCGTTGAAACGTTAGCCGGAATTTTGTTCAATCGCATTGGATTTGGTTCAACATTAAATTAAACATTTGCAACGTTACAACTTTATAGAGGAAGCGCAGAATGTGTTACACAGAAATAATCCTAGAATAGTAGGCTTGTAATAAGGTTATATAATTTTAGCTGAATCGAATGTTATTATACGTGCGCTTTAATTCATGATTTCGTCTTAGCGTTATGCAGACATGAAACGCAATATTGCTATTCAGTGCATGCAATTATTTCGTTTTTTCATTGACGTTTATAATAACATCATTAATTTCACGTCATGAACGCTTCATCATCAAAGCTTTCTTTTAAAAATTTATCGTTTTTTGAATGCCGGTAATGCAATGATTATGATCTGTACTTTAATACTTTTGTAGCTTGTATAAAGCCAAAGTTCACCACGCGCACAAACAACGTCGCAAGCTATATCATTGTTTAGAGCGTTACGAGCCATATGCCTTGGAAAGGCGCTGTCGGTCGTCGGAGTCTCTAAATGTATGAAAACAAACAAAACCCGATATAAAAATGAATTGCGGAACTTTGCGTGTAACATATTGCCAGGCCTGGTATTATCTTACTTCTAAACCATTGAACTTTTGTAAATATGACCTAGCATGAATACAACTCATGCATTTTTCAAATTTATTTAGACTTTAAATTCACAAAATTTACTTCATGTATATTAATGTATGCACATTTCAGCACAATTCACCATCCATGTATTTTTACGTCTGCGTAACAGCGGAGTCTTAAAATGCCTGTCCTCGATGTCACAAACGCGCTCCTTGATAAATAGATACATGTAGGTGCATTTGTGGATAATCTGACGTCGGAACCTTTCAAGTTTGAGATTTCACACAACAAATACGGCGAAAGTGTGATAAAAATATCGGTAAACTCGTGTGTTATGCTTCTCTATGCCTGTATCCAACAATTTAAAAAGTAATTATTGCTATTCTCTGGTAGATTGTGATTGAAACTTTCAGAGCGATCTAAGGAAAGGTAGATTATGCTTTTTAGTATAATAGAGCGTAAATATCTTGATTTTTTTTTCTTTACTCAATGGCCATCGCAAATGATTGCGATTTATAAACTAAGAACTATGCTAATGAGAGCCTTGCTTTAGAGGCAACATTCTCCCTAACTGCGGCATTATATCTCGCTGCAGGCGGAGAAAACGTCTGAGCAGGCATCTTTTTTGGTTGAAATTTGATTTCCCTCCACTATAGGTCCTAAATTTGGAAACGCGGAAAAGGCTCAAATTGTAGAAATGATAGTATTGTATGAGATAGTATTGTATGAGAGTAATGAATGATAATAAAACCACAAAGCGGTCGCCCAATGAACATCATATTATATTTTACCTGTGTAAATGAAGCAATCTGATTGGCTGAGAAGCGTTTCACAGCGGGCCGGAATTTTGCATCCGGCCGCTCTGAAAAATGTAAACAAAACGACAAAACCAAAGCAACATTCGGCTAAAATGTGTGAAAACCTTACTGGAAGAGGCTAAAAGACTGTTAAAAATAAAAAACATACCCGAAAAACTTCTTAGTTCTGATTTTTAGTATGTGCGAGTGGAGGCTGGGCTTTATCAGTGTCCTAAAAATTTGCAAAATTTTTATTTTTAAAAACAGGCATATTAACGTGGTTAATGTAAAAAATATTAATTTTCTATTTGCATGAATGATGAAAACAGACTAAAAAAGAATGGCGGCAACGTTGTACGTGCATGGAACTAGTTTTTTTATACCTTTTGTATAACTTGGCGTAGTTTTATGGTTGACCAAGCTGAGCGCGTCGTCGGGCTGACCGCAAAGTAAATCGCACTCTCTTTTGTCTCTTTATAATTTATACAGTTGTGTGTTCAACCTCGCACCCAGGGTATTTTCACCTACAGTCTGTAGTCAGTTGACACGTTTGATGCAAAGCTGTTTTTTCTTCTCTCATTTGATTGACGGTTTTATTTCAATCATATGCACACTTTTTTTCACATTTTTGTTATTTTCTTAGGAACCATATGCAGTATTCTAATTTTTGGTTTATGTTTCTCGTTTTCACTTTGATCTCGCGGACTGTTAATGGAGTCTGTAAGCCACAGCCAGGTATGCTTAATGATAAAACATTGTTTTTAAAATCAACAAATGAACGATTACAATTGGGGTCATCGTACTGTTACATGCATTCTACACAGCACCGCTCTCCATACAATGATTCAATATTTTTTTTCCCTGTATACAGAGGGCTCAGTTTTTCAGGTCTTCGCAACAAAAAATTAAAAGCTTTTCGTTTACCCACTGCTCTCTATTTTATGTACGTTTTCCTCTGACAATATGAGCCTGCAAAAGTTTTAATTTGGATCAGCATGAAACATTTCCTCTCTTTACGGGGCGAAGAACCATTTTCTGTGATGATCAATTGCACCCTTTCCATCCAAGTTAATTGGCTACGAAACCTTTCCCTAGCTATAGTCGTGCATGTGTCGTGTGTCCCTGTTTTTGTCGATCTTAGGAGATTTAGTCTATTGATATATTGAACTATAACAACAGTCAGATCTTTCTGTGTGGAACTGAAATCATTAATAACCCTAATATATACGGTACTTATAATTACATAACGCGACGAACTTACAAAGACGAACTAGAATACGAACTATCTTTCGCTTGCCCAAGTTCCTCTAAACTTTTCTTATTTTCCATTGCAGAATGCGGACGAGCAACACCAAAGAATGTTAAGTTTTGTGGTCCTATAACTGGGCCGAGATATTATTCGCATCCGGGACCACTAACTTTGACCTGTAATGCATCTGGTGATATACAAGAGATGTACTGGGAACGAACTGACGATGATGCTAAAGTGCAACAATTGAGTTACACAACATTTGGGAAAGTTTCGTCCTTTTGGATTGCAACATTAGACAACTATTTATCCACAAACAAATCTAAGTTTAGTTTCATCTGTGTAGCTTTGGATATTTGCTGTAATAAGCAGATAACAAAACGACCCAAAACAATAGAAATAAGGAAATCTAAAGCTACTCCAAGTAAGTTCTCCCACCATATTTTAATAGTTTTGGTCTTTTACTTTTACATCATTTTTTCTTTGCGAGCGAAAATCATAGAGGGTTTTAAAAACTCGCGGATTTTGTGTGCCTCAAATATACGCCTGTTGGTTAAAGTCCTATATAATCCAAATCCTGTTAAATCTGACTTATTACACCGAAATCAGAAAAAAAATCGCCCGTGTGAACTGGTGCACACTTTTAAATGCAACAATCTTTGATAAATTCAATAATTTATATTCTTGCCAAACAAATTAAGTGTAACTTGGTACTTCGAGGTACTTGTGCACTCTCTTTTGGATTAATCATTTTGCCGTTTTACTAATTTTGTAGGCAAATGCATTAAAGATGTTTTGATTATTGTTGATACTTCAACTTGGCGAGAATACATAAACTTTATATTCTGTACAGTCTTTCTTAATGTACTTGTCGACAATCTTCAACTGAATGTCTCACCAGAAGGAAGCCATATTGCAATCATGTTGTTTAGTAATGAGAGAACTGAAATAATATTAACAATGAAAAGTCGGAATAAAACGGATGTGCAAAGAAGAATCTTCGGGTTCCGCCATCCCTTTTGGATAAATTATCATGAAAAAAGAACAGATGTAGCTTTATTAAAAGCAAATGAGGTAGGTCAAATTGTTTATGGTTTCAAATCTAATCATTTATTCAGTGAATATAATTATAAAATAACATGTATGTAATGCGTGTTCTGATTGGTCGAATCATGCGTGTTCTGAATTGGACGGCCTGATCCAAACACGGAAATTTAAAGTTTTAAAAAATTTGAATTTAAATTCGCGCGCTTTTCTTAATTCTAGCAACACTCCCGCGTGTTTGGATTGGGCCATCTAAACACAGAAACTATTATTGTCGATTTCGCATAACTTTTCAAAGCGCGGTTGCGAAGTTCGTTGCGAACTTGTCAATTACGTTTCCAACTTCGGAAGTTCGTCGCGAACTTTGGAACGAATTTCGCAAGTTCGTTTTCCATTTCGAAGTTGGTTGTGTTGTATTACAAATACTTGATGAAATATAAAATAGCAATTATTCAAGCGAAATTATAGAAATAAATAGCAATTTATTAGAATAGAATAGAAACAAAATATATTTGTGCACTTCCGGTTCATTTGGGCGGGAACATTTTGAAATGAAATATGAATTCGTTTACTCGACAAGGCAAAGCCTTACCAAACACAGTTCGAGAAGAAATAATTGAAAAGTATTTAGATAACCAATCGGTTACCGCAATTGCAAAAGAACTTCGTTTGCCATATAAAACGATATCAAACATTATAGACGTGTGGCTGACAAGACCTACCATAGAGCCGAAGGTTGGAGGCAACAAATTTCGAACTGCACGCACGGACGATGTTATAGCTTTTACGGAATTCCTGAAGCAAAATAAACCATCAACATACGCGAAAGAAATTCAGCAACAGTTGGTCACCGATGGAATATGTCTTCCAGAAAATATGCCTAGCACATCTTCTATAAGTCGAATTATGACTGATGATCTGGGTTATTCGTACAAAAAGATCAGCCAAATAGCGCGTGAAACAGAGCGAGAGGATGTTGTTGAAAAATTGTCTGTTTACCTAGCTGTGATCTCAGGAGTAACATCGAACCGATTGCACTTCTTTGATGAAAGTTCAGTTCTTGTGACTAACGGGAACAGAACTAGAGGACACAGCGCGATTGGGCAACCAGCTATTGAAGTGCAAAGATATGCATCAAATGCGACTTACACCGTAAACTTACTCCACAGCGTAAACGGAGTATCACATTATAACATCATTCGAGGGGCATCAAACGGTTTAGAGTTACTAAATTTTTTTGACGAGGCCCTTGAACAAGAAGATATCTTTGGGAACCCGATCATCAAACAAGACGATGTCGTTGTGATGGATAACTGCGGCTTTCATCACGCTAACCACGTTGAAGAAAATCTACGAGCTGTTCTACAAGATAGAAATGTTGAACTCATTTTTCAACCTCCCTATCATCCCTGTTACAACACATGCGAGTATTGCTTCAACATTATGAAAGTTATTTTACGAAGATATCCAAAATACACAGAAAAGTACACAGATTTGTGCATATCTGATGCATTGGAAATGATAACTGCAGGTCTATCGAGACAGATTTTTAAATTTTGTGGGTACTTGTGAGTCGCAACACTGTCACTGATGTTCAATAATAAATATACATTTTGCACAAATATTCTTGCTTTATTTTAACGTAACACTGTCTATTCAGTTTATAAATATTATACATTATAGTTTATAAATACTCTAGTTCGTAACACAAAACGCAACGTAGCTGTCGTAGCCCGTCATTATTAGTAACGCAAAACACAACCAGATACGTCCAAAGAAATCACAAAATGACAAAGAAAATAACACTACAAAGTCTACACTAGCCTTACGCGTCACTCTTCGAGAACTCGACAGCCGAAGACAACAATGATAGACCTTCAGTCGTATTGTCCATTGTGGTATTGTCGCAGTACCTCAATTGTGTTGAATTTTGTTCGCAAGACCCAGAGACAAGTGGTATATTTGTATGAGAATCTAACGATCGCGTATCTTGTGGATTGACAGCAGTAAACGGAGCTGGGAGGTAGCCCATTGTTCCCAATTACATGAAAACGGGTTGCTATATGCATTGACGGTCGGTAAATGTTGTCTATAATAATATGCTGGATTGCCATAATAACTTGTCTGACTTGTACTGGGTAAGATCATACGAGACTGGGATGGAGGTGCAAACTGATTTTGATCATAGACTTGAGTCGCTAAAAAATTTTGATTCGACGGGTTAATCGGATTTCGTTCACCAAAACCTGTAATTCTATTGTTGGAAACATCAACCCCTTTACGACGGTGACGTCTTTGTCTCGACGATTTCTTTCGTTTCTTTTTGGAGATGTACCCCCTTCGGCTTCGATTACTATCATCGCTCGTCGAATCAGAACTACATTCGCTTTCTGAATCGGATTCGCTTGATGAACTAGAACGTTCCTTAATTTTACTTTTCCTGCTCTTTCGTTTGTGTTTGAAGACGAGTTTACGTGCTTTCCCTGATTTTTGTTTATCAATCTTGCTGTTTGAATGAACCACACCAACATCGCTAACATTATGATTAGTAATGTTATCTGGTGATACACTCATTGTCACGTTTAGGTTTATTGCACTCTTTTCGGCGTTGTCGCAATGCAATTGTTCATATTCTTGAATACCATGTACTGCCACCTCGCCGACTTCACGTTCTAGGGTCTGTTTACATTTCTGTAAAGATATTTTTAGTTGTTCTGCATCGTTGGTCGTCTCAGCCGGAATTTTGCCATTGTAAAATTTTCTCAAAATACGAATGTCCCGCAATAGTTTTTGCTTGTTCAGTTTGTATGACGGATCTACTTTATCATGCGGGGAGTTAACGCCTTAAGAAACTGATGCTCACTTTGTGATACAAAGTTTTTAATACCATTCAATTGTTCCTGATGAGCTTTGATGTTATCGCGCTTTTTCTTGATTGCTAATTTTAGTTTATTCATTTCAGAGAAGTATTCTGGGTGTTTCTCTCGTAAACCACAATAAGTGTACGACGTACACTTTTGTAAATTGCATGGTTGGTTTACCTGATTGCGATGGCCACGGTGATGGCAGTTGCCACACGTTACTTTTGCAATCCCGATAGCAGGCAAAGATGGAACATTAATGTTCATGGAATCCAAATTTACCTGCAGCTCAGACAACGATTGCTCATCTGCTTCAATTTGCTTTTCGATTTCCAAGCGGCGTTTGAATAATGCACGTTGAGAACTCTGCGTTGGATTATCTCTAGCCCTAGGTATAGGATTATCCTCTTCACCGTTTTCGCTTTCAGAGCTGGAGTTGGAACTGCTATTATTAGTATTACCCTGCAAAATATATCAGTAGCAACCGTTTAAATTTTGCTAAGAGGTTTGGTAGAATGTTCCGTTTATAGAAAAATATAAATATTACGCACGGACTGCACGATAATGCCGATATTGCGATTCCAATATTACTATTTACCATGTTATAAATATCTAGTAAATTACAATAATAAATCAAATTTCGGTTGGCTCTCACCTTCTCTTTCTCAACATGATTAGTAATCTTCTTCTTCAAGTGTAAAGGCGATTCATCATGTAGCAAGTTGAGGTGGTATTCTAATACCTTTCTCGACCCAAGTGGCAATTTTGCATCAGCGAATAATTTGTCCAAATTATCTGGACTTAGCAATTTTAGACTTAGTCTCGAAGTAAAATTGTTTGCGACTAGCACTTCCTTTATTTTGGTTGAGCTCTCTTGGCCAATTTTTTGTAAAAAAGCATTTATAAATTCATTCAATTCTTTAAACTCGTTCATCGTGTCGTACAGCGAAATTGGCGGTAAAGTTGCAACTTCGTACGAAGTTCGGAAATTCGTTCCGAAGTTCGCGACGAACTTCCGAAGTTGGAAACGTAATTGACAGGTTCGCAACGAACTTCCGGATTACGCGTTGAAAAGTAATATGAAATCGACAATAAGTATTAGTATACACCCGACTGTTGTCTATTACAAATCCTACATTTTGATTGGCTACTCAACCATTGTCTATTCGTGATGGTGCACGCTTGGGAAAATTTCGCTCGCGCGACCACAGGTAGCCCGCTATTGGATTTGCTTTTAGTTAAATCTTTTTAAAATACATTCTATGCAAAACGACATGAAGTGTAACCTTCCTTCGTTCACTGCTGACATATTATCGCATGCGCCAATTCGTGCGGTGCAGTGTGACCTTTATGTATATATTAATATAAGGTTGGCAACTCTTTGTCGTATTTTCACATTTACGAATTACATACACAAACTTACACATGAAAATAATCGTACTTAAACACAAAAATATACACAAAAAACTAAATCTATGTGGGAACTGACTCTCCTAAAACATTTCCGAAACATTTGTTTGTCTTTAAAGCCATTGCAAATATGTGAAATTCACGAAAATACAAACACTTTTTGGTTGAATTTTTTGAAAAGCCGTCGGGATCCCATCACCCTGCCCTACGTCACAGCAAACACGCAATATGATTGGCTTAGTTTTGAATTTTGAAATTTGTTTACGTTAACGGACTCAACCAGCCAATCATATTGCGTGTTTGCTGTGACGTAGGGCAGGGTGATGGGATCCCGACGGTTTTTCAAAAAATTCAACCAAAAAGTGTTTGTATTTTCGTGAATTTCACATATTTGCAATGGCTTTAAAGACAAACAAATGTTTCGGAAATGTTTTAGGAGAGTCAGTTCCCACATAGATTTAGTTTTTTGTGTATATTTTTGTGTTTAAGTACGATTATTTTCATGTGTAAGTTTGTGTATGTAATTCGTAAATGTGAAAATACGACAAAGAGTTGCCAACCTTATATTAATATATACATAAAGGTCACACTGCACACTGCACCGCACGAATTGGCGCATGCGATAATATGTCAGCAGTGAATGAAGGAAGGTTACACTTCATGTCGTTTTAAATAGAATGTATTTTAAAAATATTTAACTAAAAGCAAATCCAATAGCGGGCTACCTGTGGCGCGACCGTATAAAATTGAATTATTTTTCGGTGTAATTACGGTGTATCGGTTATTTTCTCAAAATTAATATATCTAGGTACAAACTCGCCTTCGTTGTCTGTAAGCGAATAATCAACTCAGGCTGCGCCTTCGTTGACTATTCGCTCATAGACAACTCGGACTCGTTGTCTAATTGTTAAATAGTATACTAGAAATACATGCACGCAGCAACCCCTCGCCTCGGTTGAACGAAATCAGTTAAGCATAGGGATGGTAACATGATTGTTAGAAAATTTATGTGGGTTGAGGGTTTGGGAGGGTACATGGTATAAAGAGAAAAAGAAATTGAGAAAAGTATAGAAATATTTTTCTGCAGGTGGAAACACTGTAGTCATAGCAACTCGCAACGGCCGTATATTTTTAAAGAATCAAAGTTTATCCACAGGCAGCCCGGTCACTGCTGTTACGTCATGCTATTATATATATATATAATTACAACAAGACGCCGTTCTGGCGTTAACTCCGGCGCACGTGCCAGTCTTCATTATAGAGCTTCTGGACATAAACAATACAGTTCGCGTATTGTTTCGCATACATATTCGCATTTAGATGCCTTACGAACCTAAATGTTCGATCGCGAAATTCAGAAGCACATCGCAGTATAGAAGTTCAATTGTTCAAAAATGTAAATAAACCGCATGATACATTCGCTTCGTCTTACAGTTTGCCTTTGGAATTCGCGCTTATATAGTTGTATTAAATCTTCGATCCTGTGCAAACTACGCGACGTGTCAACGCGCCCATACACGACCACATCATCTTGTTAAACGGCGAAATAGCAGCGATATTATTAAAATAGGACCGGGTCTACATGTATTAAATATATTCTTATCCCAATTCAATCTAAACTTAATCGAACAGCATGAAAAGAACGGTCTATTTGTTCCTCTTGGAGGAATTGCCGTATCATGCGAGCGAAATCGAATCGCGCATTGGAAAATTAGCCAAAGCTGTGCACCACAAGTCTTGGGAGATAAGACTGGGACGTAGATAAATACGGTCACATACACATTTTAAATACTAGTATATTTCGCGCCATTACAGACTTGCGACGACGAAAATTTAAAAAAAAAAAAAAAAAAAAAAACCAAAAAAAAAAACAAAAAAAAAAAAAACCGGGGCGAATTTTCAACTCCGTCGCTGACTTGAAAAAAACTCTGAAATGCTCAAATTTTGCGAATTAAAAGTGTATTTTCGTTGAAATTTTGCGAAACAGAGGCAGGATATAGTTTACTCGACAAACGTCATCATCGGAGAATTCGTCGGCAAATTTCTGATTGGCTGTGGCAAGTTCGGAAATCTACGAAGGTCAACTCAATGAAGAAAAAAGATCTTCGTTATTTTCCGAACTTGCCACAGCCAATCAGAAATTAGCCGACGAATTCTCCGATGATGACGTTTGTCGGGTAAACTATATCCCGCCTCTGTTTCGCAAAATTTCAACGAAAATACACTTTTATTTCGCAAAATTTGAGCATTTTTCAAGTCTAAAAACGACAAATAAATATATTCAATATATCCAAGGTGTTTTGTATGTAGTTTTTTTTTAAGAAACTAGCGTAGTATTTTTGTTTTAAGCGATGGTATTAATGTATGTATTATATTTTTTGCGATAGAGTTGCCAGCCTTATTGTAATTATATACATATATAATAGCATGACGTAACAGCAGTGACCGGGCTGCCTGTGGTTTATCCTCATATTTTTGTGAAAAAATGGCAAAAATACCAAAAGATTCCTACCTTTTTCAGGAAGTTAGGTCACTCATCTATAGTCAGTGTCATGGTAAATTGTTTTGATTATTAATTACCATGAAATATAACATCAGACGTTTCATACGACTTCCGAAGTTTTATGTTATGCTTCGACCGGTTTTTGTACGGTTTTTGTCATTATGAAAACGGAGTTTATAAATGAAATTATAATGTCGCTTATCACATAACACATTCAGATCTATAGTGAAATACATTTGAGAATATTAAAGTTTTGTTTACCACAAAACAATTACTTTTTATAGCTGTGCCGGATGAAATATTATCAAGTGTAAAATTTTCCGACTTCATTATACACGGTGAATTCGGTCGAAACTCGAAATTTGGTCTTGTTATTTGTTAAACCGTGAAAAGTCCTGACCACATTCTAGTTTCCCTCTAATTTAATTAACAAGTACGATCGTACCATAGGGACCAGGAACTGCGTAACCGAGTTTAATTTCTGAACTGCATTGTATTTATAACAATGGAGAGGACAATGTATTTCTAATCGTTTGTGTTTACTTATATATAGGCTGAATATTAATGATATGTATATAATTATTATTTGCTGCAAATATATCAAGAATTGCTTGTAACTTGCTTCAAAGGTCAAAAGTAAAAATTCGAACTCCGTCAATCGATGCGGAATATTGCTTAGAATAATTGTGCCAAGTTTCATTCCGATCAAACAAGTAATGAAAGAGCCTTGGGGTTTTTTTTAAAGAGCGTCGCCCCCTAACAACAACAACAACAAGATTAGCAGCGGTTAGGGACCATGCAGTTCCTGGTCCAAAAATACAAATATTCCACATGTATGAAAACACAAATTTAAAAATTTCATCAAAATTTTGTGAAATGACAGTTATTCACTCATGTTTGAAAATACAAATTTTTGTCTCTACCAATCAAGAGCTTAGTAGTTCACACTTGCGCATGCGCATAACGTAGAAGACCGTCCATGGGGCGAGGTCCATTGCATAATGGTGGACAGCTTCGATTTTGCCTTTGCACATCGTGGGTGTAAATATCCGAGCGGAATTAGTACCCTCGCACGGTGCTCCGCACCGGCTCGGGGATTAAAAAAAGTCAATAACACTCTTTTTCAGAAAAAAACGAATTCTACTATTAAACTATAGCACTGGAAATATCTCAAATCATCAGTATTATTTAATATATTAACAATATCGAGCTATCCTAAAATCAAGTACGGTTTTAAGTCTTATTTTAATGGTTTGCGACGATAAAAGAATCCAAGATTATCTTTAAGGTTAGCGGCCAAATCAATAACCATTAATTTGTGACCTGCTTTCCTTTTCTATATAAGAAAAAAGCATGTATAATAGCGTCTATATAGCCGCCCTAAATATACATAGATTGATTATTTTACAGATATTCAAGAGAAATAATTCACTAAATCATCGAGAAGATAAAGATGATGTCATAATTCTGCTAACTGATGGCCCACCAACGCAAAGGTCGGGAAAAGGGGAACAACCGCACGACATCGCCATAGCTGAAGCAAAGAAACTGAGAGACAAAGGCATAATCATTGTTGGGATTGCTGTTGGTAACCGTCAACAAAATGTTAGAACTGTGCCATTCTTGACAAATATATCAACAGCTGGTCAAACGCTTCCATCAACATATCCTGATTTGATTCTGTTGAGCGACAGAATAGTCTACGCTTTCTGTCCCAGACCGTCCTTCTGGTGAGACTTCATTCTTTATAAACTTTCAAGTAAAATGCTGACCCGAAGAGCTAGTATAGATCCTGCGATGTCCGAAAACACGATAATTACTGAATTATGAATAAATTGTTGTTTGGTTGTGCCGTTCGGCGGAAACATTTTGTTTTCAAATTTTTCTCTTCTGTCGCCAGTTAACGCTATATCAAAAATTTTAGTACCGAAAGCTGAGAATAAATAATATTTTTATCTTTGGCAATTATTAATTTACTCATACTCCTAATCATTTGACGAATGATTATAGATATTACCATTTTAAATTTAGGTTTCAAATATTTCACGTATCAAATAATATTGTTTCCCTTATCGATACACCCTAGAGCTACATAGTCGTATAATTTGAATTCTGCCTCTCTTCAAAAAATGGCGGATTTCATTCAGTTTTTGAAAACATTTGGAAAAATTTGCATGATCATCACAATTTACAGACTTTACTCTTACACCTATTTTTAGGACCAAGTGAACCTAGAAACGTATCCGTCGTGGTACATGGAAGAAATTTAACACTTTCATGGCTGAAGCCAGAAATTGCTGCTGATAATATTGTCGACCATTATCTAGTATCGTGGGGGACAAATCAGAGTGACTTTTTACTCCAAAAACAGGTTGTGTCAAGTCCTTTTTTATGTGATTTTGGTGAGTACACACTATATTATTTAATATAGCTGAAATTGCAACAGAAGTTATGCAAAAAGGTTTTGAAATATTCAAACAAATTTCGTATAAGCAATAATGTTGAAATCAATCACTTTCACAACAATGTACCTTACACCAACCGAAGCGAAATGGCATGGAAACAGCGCCCGATGATCGTCGCCGTTTTAGATATCAATAAAATGTAACTATATAACAATGCCCTTCTTGCACAGTCAAAGTTTAGCTTGAACTTCGAATTTGAAATTTTGTCAGTTTCCCGTGCCTATTAATTGCTATTTCATGGGGACTAAATATAAACTTCTCATAACTGAGAAAACTGTTTATGACCAGTAATCTTCTAGTCATCGATCTAATAAATCTTCTAGTCATCTATTCATTTCCTTCATTTTTCAGAAAAACCTGGATTGTACAATTTTAAAGTGCAAGCTGTTGATAAGAATGGTATTGGTGAAGCCGTCTATCTTTACAATGTAACAATCAAGGGACGGAAGAATGTTCCGACAAAGAGTGCAGAGAATCTACGAGATGTTTCGACGGACAAACAACAAATAACAAAAGCTGTAAATTCACGATCAGACAATAATGTTTATGCCATAGCCGGGGGAGTAGCAGGATCTGGTGTGTTTATTTGCCTGGCTGCGTTTTTCCTTTTATTTATAGTAAAGAAAATTCAGAATAGACGCAGAGATATTTCGATCAAGGTAAAACCAATAGTTTCCATGTATTATATATATATTATATATACAGTAATGATATAAAATATAGACATTTACTCAGTGGAGCAGCCAGCATCGATAATTGGGGTGGAGCCCATATACATATTTACTTGTTAACAGACTGTAAAGACAATTCATTTGATTTGAAAAGAATTTAATCCTGCGTATCACGAATATATGAATATGGACCCCCAAATTCTCCTTCTGGCTACGCTTTTTTTTTTGTTTCAACAGCGTGTGATGAAACAGTGTGCGATGATTGCAATGAAAATGTATCACTAATATTGCATATTTGTATGTAACTCCGCTGCGTGTTTCTTCGGAAGAAAAATGGCAACAGAAGATATTTTCTTGCATGCATGATAGGAAAAAGCATGCAGGCACGGCTACATGCATGGCGTCTTTTTGCAGATGCATATGTTCAGTTGGCTTTAACCTTGTCAACCTTTGAGATGTTACGATTATTACCGACATAAATTTTCGCCTCCGTAATCAAGGATGTTCACATCTACTGTAATAGACCTTTCCCCTTTTTGGCGTTTAAGTGCGCAATGCGTGACTCACGGTAGTTGATTCCGCCATATATGTTCAGGAGCGATTTATTTCTAGATTTCGTTAACGATCAACAAAAAACCAAAAGAATCAGAAAGCTTTTCTTACAACGAAAAAATCGCTTCCAAGCAGAGCGATATCGCAGCTCAAAGTTGTTTCATAATCAACTATATATCGTCACGCATTGCAAGCATGATAAGGGGAAAGATCTATTGCATCAAGTATATGCAAAACAGAATGTCTGAGAACTAATGTTTACTCAAGATGTAGATCTTTATAAAAAAAATCAAAATTACATAAAAAAAGCCAATATTATATTGGAACTACTTTTCATTATACATTTTTCCCTTTTTTTCTTTATATGACAGGAATTTGAATCCTGGATCACAAACCGTCCCAAAACGAAAAATTCCCGAAATGATACATTGCTTGAGCTAGAAAAGTTGAACAAAGAAAGCGGTTGGTAATTGCAGCTCTAGGGAAATTCTTTATTCAAAATAAAGAATCCTACATTCTCCCATTAATTAGTTAAAAATTTGTGTCATTTCACTCAATGTTGAACTGCGAAGTGAAGTGGCACAAAGTCTTAACTGATTCAATTAATGCAACCTGTTCAATGTTTCGAATACAGGCACTGGCTGCATGCGCAGTGGAAAGTTAAATTCAGTGCAAATCTGCATGATAAGTAGCTAAAATGTTTATGATATGATGATAAAAGTGGGGAAAGGATTTTTCATTCTTGCGCATTTCAAAAAACAAATGATTTAGACACACCCGTCGTAGCATACATAAACAATAGCATTCACTAGACTTTTGGTGTCTATTGTCCATATGTACCTTCTAACATAGTATAAAATTTCCCAATTAGCTGGGACATGAGAAAAAAACGCGAATTTTCCTTTAGAGCTCCAGCCGGAAGAAATCTCATATGTGACGTTATTGAAAGACTGGGAAATTTCGCCCTACCACCTGCACATAATGGAAAAAATACTCGGGGCTGGACAATTTGGAATCGTTAAACAAGCTTCATATACCGCTCCAGGACATGATAATCCTGAACTTGTTGCTGTCAAAATGTTGAAAGGTAAATAATCGTAAATCAATTCATATTGCATTTTATAATATAACATTTATAATACGCGTGTCCTGATTGGTCGAGAAGTGTGTTTCTATAATATATATACTAGAAATACATGCATGCAGCAACTCCTCGCTATTTCAAACCAAGTACACAATTTCCTGAGTTAACCTGACCTAAACTTATATTATGATATGACACAAAACTCAAATCAGTTTTATTATATTTTACCGAGTATATTATAGCTAATGTTTCCATCATTCAATACAAAAATAATCATAAAGCTAGTGTAAACATTGCCTGTTTAATTTTGCTGCATTATGCCTTGCCAGCAATTAAGTAACGGTTTAAAATCGAAGTTTCAAACGATTAAAACAGTACAAAATCTTCACAGACAAAGAAAATTTTATTCGGCAATTGCAGTCGACGCCGGTGGCTAAAATTTTCATACTTTATAAATATAGTGTGTATTTTTGATACTAAAATTTAAATTACACTTTCAAAAACACTTTTTGAAGTTAAAGCAAAGGTGTAATAGCCTTTTACAGGTTTATGTGTTTGCATAAAAAGCTGAAAATTTAACAAATAAACGGCATACAAAGCTGAAAAGTATACAAATACTGCTCATTCCTACTGCGAAACAAATACGAAATAAACAAAGTAAACACGTACCCTTTGTCTTTAAAAACATTTATAAGCTTGCAGATTATGAATTATTCCTCTTCCACGGCTTTGTCTTGACTGTATCCACGTTCATCTTTGCTATGTGTCATGCTTCATATATCTTGCTTCCTCTCCTTTTAATTTCTTTTTACAAAGTTTATGAAACGCTTATACAAAAATATGTTTACGAAATGACAGTTAAATTGCTGACATTCTCATTGAAATACAAACTTTCTGTCTTAGCAAATCAGAACGTTCGTTGATTACTCGCGCACGCGCATAACTCACAAAACCACCCAACGTCGACCATCCATGACATAGAATTTGGACAACTTTGGATTCGCCTATGTTCTACCGGGTTCCGGGTGTAATTCCTAATCTCCAAGCGGAATTAGTACCCTCGCGACGCTCTGCGCCCGCTAGGGGATAACTGTGTAGAAAAGCGAGACTTTTCCCGCCGAAATTGACAAGCGAAGTAATGTAATGAGAATTTGTACTTGAATCCTATTATAATATTTGTGCAAAATCTTTTTATTGAGTTATATTATAAATGAAATAGATAAAAAAATTCTTATGTTTCTATTCAGTCATAGAAACACGTTCGAGAGTTTGGGAGAACTCGAATTAATAACGTCCTCCCAAACCCTATTCTACTTAAAAATTAGTTTTTGAAGGCGAGGTAATTACTGAACAAGAGGCGACTAAATGTTTTAGTATAAATTTCGAGGTGATTGCAAATAATAATCAACATAATTTCATAAAAAGTCCGTAATTACCCCAAATCTCTTGAAAAACAACAACAAAAAGCTATATAGTCACCGACCAATGACTATCACTTCAGATACAGTGAATCTTGACCAATCAGAATGCTGAAAAATCAATAGTCACCTCGCAATTTATACTAAAACTGTTTAGAAACACGGAAAATGTTTTCTATTTCTTATAGATATTATATTACGTGCAACTTTTAAAATTGTTGATGTTGTTTCAGATACTGCGAAGAAATCTGATATATCTGATCTTTTGGCTGAGTTGGAGATCTTAAAAAAGATTAACAAAGAACCTCATCCAAATGTAATACGATTTATAGGCGGTTGTTCAGTGGAAGGTATGACAAGAATGGAAAACCATTATTATTATATTTGTTGATAAATATCTCTTCTTTAGTAGGTAGGGTTGTTCGGCACTTTGTAATTACGTATTTTTAATTGATGTCGCGAATATCAAATATTTTACTTGAGGAAAAATAATGGTGGTGACAGAGTTCTGCTCTGCTGGAAATCTTCAGAAATTTCTGAGGAAGAGTAAACTTATTACTAACCTTGGCTCACAAATAACTTCCACCTTGAACGATCGTCAACTCTTGAAAATTGCCGTTGATGTGGCAAGTGGAATGGCACATCTTTCGAATCAAAAGGTATTATGACAGTTGTGCCTACTGCATTATAGTGCACTATAGCTCTCAATCTTTTCAACGTTGAATTCGAATTTCGAATCATAAATCAAACCGTTTGTTTACACATGGACTTTTCTTCCACTTTAAAGTTTATTTTGTTTGCGTTTGGCGGTTTAATAAAGTCCACCAAGATCATAAAATCCATAGTTGTGTATTTCAGCATGCATGTATTATGCAACCTAGTATGATATATCATCGATATCGAGTGCGGGATTCGTTAGTGTGTTAGTAGAAAAACTCGTCAGGATTTTGAGAAAAAATTGGAATTTGCTCATCAAATCAAAACCCTAGTTACCAATTTCATCAGTGGTCGACGTCCGAAAGCTAATGAACGTTTATATTTTTCATTTGGATGGTTTTGAAAATATACGAAAACATCACTCGTACTTGAACAGGTAAATAGGTAGATTTTGTATTTTAAAAAATGCAAGTATTTTGTATTAAAGTTTAACTTGTGGTTTTATTAAGAAACGTACGACACCTTTTTGAATTTATTTCTCAATTTCGTTAAAATCATTAAGATTGGGAAAGCATTTATTTTTAAAGTTGAATGTGTTTAAAAAGGAATTGATATTTCGCTAAAAATTGCAATATAAAATTTAACACTATTCATAGCACAATTAATGATTTATGATTATAGTTGGATGTGATAGCTCGAGAGTCGACTTTACAATTGTACTTGATATAGGATTTTTCGTTTCGGCCATCTCAGTTAACCCCAGCATAAGGCCCAGCATCTCAAAACGATAATGTTGTGACGTAATTATCGAAAGGGTCTATTCCATAAGATTGGAAATTTATCCTTCTATACAATTTCAAACAGGTATCATGCATGCAGCCACTGTATCTTCTGCATGCACGTGAACTACCTGTTCCCGTTATGTAAGTTATTCATGCCATTATATAATAATTATGGCATTCATGCATGCATGGTGTTAACCTCCTTGCAATATTTTAGTTTGTCCATCGTGATTTGGCAGCCAGAAATATCCTTCTTGCCGGTGAACTAGAAAACGTTGCAAAAATTTCTGATTTCGGTTTGGCGAGAGATATTGGAAGTGCTGAGGAATACATAAGAAGCAATCAGGTATATGAACTATAAGTAAGGGCAATTTTACTGGAAAATAATGTTTTAATTTACATGATTAGTGATTTGATTTGCTGATTATCTGAGGCATTATTTATTAGCTAGACTTGGAAATATTGATTTATTCTTAAATTATTTTCCAATATAACGTATATGAAACTTTCATTGAAAATATTGAACAAACAAAAGAGTCAGGAAAAAAATGAAAGAAAAATTAGAAAAAATTGCTAATGTTTAAATTTTATTCCGAGCAGACGCAATATCCATTTTGAAGAAGGGTCGGTGTATTTGTGAATGCATATGCATGTTAAACCACGTCACGAGTTTTTTCCGCTGATTTTATTGACATGCAATTACACAAAAAAAGTTGATATAAAAAATCTGTCGAGTAGCCAGCCTGACAATTTGTCCCACTATGCTAATATTTTGGTGTTCATTAACTGCGAAAACAATGAATTTCTAAAGATATTGTTACTGCCTTGCTAGCGCCAGGCTCTGCGCGTTTTAAGATTGGTTTTCTTAGTTGTTGCGTCCGATTTGTATCGCTAAACGAGAACGCTGATTGTTGTGATTTGGACCTGAAATAGGCAGAAAATCGGTAGGAATTTGCATGTCTTTAACTTCATTAACGTAACCCTTTATAAGATATTTGTATATTCTATGTTTACATAGTTGACATCACTTATGAATACAAGCTAGAACAAAGGGAATTGCGTGCGTCTGTTGTTGTTTGTGTTCGTCGAGATTAAGTGCTAGTAACAACGAAACTCCAAATTAGGGCTCCAAATTCACATTCAGAAGCGGAACAAAATTAATTTTGCGGGAGTAACAGATATGAATAATTATAATAACTCGAAATTTGCATAACGGGACAAAATAGTCAGGCTGGCTACGCTACTGTAAAAAATACAACTTTGTTTTGCTTTGGAAAAAGTACAACTTTTTATTATATTCAAGCACATAGTAAGGACTACTTGTTTAATTATTTTTATTAGAATCTTCTTCCTGTTAAATGGATGGCCTTGGAGAGCCTAATTCATGGTACATTTACAACAGCCAGCGATGTGTAAGTTTTTGCCCTAGTGGTTATAGGTTTACTCCTTGGGTTGAGGACTGGCCATAATACGTTTGTTCCTTGGGCAGGTGGAGACAAAACATAGTACGTTTGTTTGCTCCTTAGGCAGGTTATATAGAGACTGGTCATAATATGTTTGTTCCTTCCGCAACGGTCCGGCCCATTGTACATTGTTGTTTCGGCAGGTTGTTGTCTTATTTGAAACTGGATTTGCTCGTTCCCCTTTTTTCACGAATTGCAGTATTGCAGAGCATTTATGATGACTATTCAAATAATAAAAAAATCGTAACGTAAAATCATATTTCCAGACCCCGAGAATGTCATACATCTGACAGACATCATTCTGAATTTATAGATGGAGTTTTGGCGTCCTTCTTTATGAAATCGTGACTTTGGGTATGTGTTATCGTATGGACGAAGTTAATAAGTAGCGTTTTACTTAATTTGCATATTTTCGTTGATTAATACAGAACGTTCTCATTAATCAGTAATGACTAAATTTCAATTTTACACTGAATGAGTGCGAGTGAGCTTTTTGAATACAGGGGTTTATAGCGCCTTTGAACATTTCATTTTAATTTGCAAATTTTTTATTTCTCTTTTTTTATCAGTCGTAATGGTCGTTACCATGCAAGGAATAAAAGCTATAATTTTTATTGCCATGAAATAGAACCGTGAAATCAATGACAAAGAAAACAGTTGTGTCTACAAATTTTCTCCATTTCTCATTTTTTTCAGGTGAAGAGCCATACAAGGCGATATCACCGTATAACATTATCAATCATGTCGGATCCGGATGCCGAATGCCAAAACCACTTCACTGCTCAAGTGAAATGTAAGTCGGATACTCTGCTTGCTTTTGTTTATGCCTTTCCAGGACCTAGCTGTTTTTTAAGAAACCCAAATGGAGGTAATACTGGGTGCCTTAAAAACGTATATTGCGCATACATTCCTTCCTTCATTCAGTTTAATAATGTTGCGAGGTTTGAATTTATGCGATGCACGATGTTATCTACCTGATGAAAATGCAAAAACGTGTTACTTCCCTATTGATTTTTTGGCCATTTATACGATAAAGGCAAAATAATAATATTTTCATAAAGACTCCACAGAAAATTGAGAAGCGTATTGTTCCCTGGCTGAACCTGACGCAATCTAGATCGTGAGCTTAACCACTTTAAAAGCTCCAAGAACTTTTTTTACGGATCTCAATGTTAAATAATTTAAAATAAAAATATTTTTCAATAAATTTTTTAAATGTATTATGTATTAACTTCTTATTAACCGAGCGCGAGGTCTTTACCGACATGGCTATTAGCCAATCAGAGGCTGTGAATTCTTTAAAATAAATAATGAAACCTCTTAATGCACCGGTTTCTTTACTCAGATACGAGATAATGTCAAACTGTTGGAAGGTGAATGCGAAGAATCGACCAACCTTCTTTGAAATTCGCCGAAGTCTTCATGATTTGATGAGTAATGATGAGGTAAAGGATATCATATGCTACGGTCATGCATGTTTGCGGTTTTTATAAGCTAAACCTCGAAGATTCTGTCTTTTTTTCCGCACTACTTTAATTTTTCAATTGCCGTTTGAAAGCAAATATTACGGTTCAATTATAGGCAGCTCAAATATGCGTGATAATTTGAACGCGAAAATCTTTCGGTAATTTGTCAACATGGTGTAACTAAACAAATAGCTGAACTCTTAGTCCAAATAATTTGAAAAACATAAAATTTAAATCTGTCATGGATCAACATGCGATTAAATCGTTATATTACTAATAAGATTGAAGGTGACGTTTTGTTGTCCACCCTAACTGCATAATGGCATCCTGTTATAAAATTTCCTAGTTAATATGTTTTTCACTTTTTCCTCTTTTGCGTTTTGAGTAAAGATTTTTTTTCGTAGAAATCTTACATCCATGTGAAGCAACTAAAAGAAGGAAAGCTTTCTTTAACGATCAACCCAACTGAGGTTGAGCTCATTGATGAGAAAAATGATGACGTAATCGTTTGAAAAGACAGTTTATATGAAATATGGCTGGTAATATTATGTGAATAATGTAGTAGTTCTCATATGAGTGATGTCATTTTTTTCCGGCGTTTTAAAATTGATGGAGTTAGACCTCAAAATGAAAATCACGTTATGTATTATTTTCCGACGACATTCATTCTTATAGCAATAATAGGATTTAGCATTTAGCAATTAAACAGCGCGTAAATAACTAGATCAGTAGGTGTGATTTATTTATCTATAATCTGTCTATGGCTTCAAAACCTGTTCGCAGGCTATGAAAATATTGTCGGAAGTAACCGTCATGATTGTACTTGAATACAATTAATGATTTTGTCAAAATAAACCAAAAGGCGGAATATTTTTTGCATATAAACTACACAGCCTTGGAGAACTAAGAAGGTTCGAACGGTAAACGAAAATTCTGTTAAAA